GGTCTCAGGGCCAAGGGGAAGGGCCTCAGGGCCGTGGGAAGGAGCGCAGGGCTGGAGAGGGGCACTGGGCCACCACTTGGGGAGGGGCGCAGGGCCTGGGAGGTGGGCTTAGGGCCGCGTGCATGGGCGCAGGGGCCACCACATGGGGACCACTCCAGCAGTGACACCCACAGCTTCACACAAGGGCTCTGACCCCTTCTGGACTAGGGACCCCCTGAGAAGCTGCCAGAGCTCGGGAAGGCAGGAGTGCAGGCCTGGACCTTCACCGCGTTCAGAACCACAGGGTGGTCACAGCCCGCCCTTGCTCTGCTCCTCCTGCCCCATGTGGGCATTGTCAGGTGCAGCGGGGTGGAGGATGGGACTGCGCCCGTCACGTCCTTGGGACCAGGCCCTCAGCAGGTGACACTGGGACCAGGGAGGCTGGGGGCACAGCAAGGGGCAGGTGGCCAGGGCCTCTCCTCACCGCTGCTGCCCCCGGCCTCCCTCTGAGGACAGACTTCAGGCTCCAGGTCCCAGCCCTCGGCGGGCCCCGCCCATCCAGGAACCCCTCTGAGCCCAAGAAGGAGGCCTCAGGCTTGGGGAGGAGCCTGGGCGGGGCTGGGTGCGGGCTGTGTTCCCCAGCTGGGCGGCTTCTGCCTCCCTGTCCTGCACACTGCAACCCCATCAGAGGGGGTTCAAGGTGCCCAGCTCAGCCCTTCTCTTCTCCACAGCCATTCAGAGCCCAGGGTTAACAGGTGTCCGGACCTTTCTAGGCCTGCAGGAGCTCTCTGGGCACCCGGGGCCTCTTGAGGCCAGGTGGGCTTTCTGGCCATGCAGGGGTCCTGGGGCCCCCAGCCTCTGTGTCCGTATTTTGTACCTGGAGCCTGGTGGAGGCTCTGTGACCTGGCAGCTCAGGGGACAGGACAAGGATGGAGCTCCCTCAGCTCCACCCTGGAAAGGGCAGAGCCCAGGCTTCCTCATGGGCAGCCTTGGTGACAGGGGTGGAGGGCTGGGGGGTGGCAAGCAGCAGACCCACCCCTTCCAGGAAGCTCCCTGGCCGGCCGGACCCCCGTCTCAGGCTTCGGGGGCCCTGCACGGCTCCTTCATTGCGGTGGTGCCTGGCTCAGAATCAGTGTCTGGTCATTTCTGTCTGCACTTCCCTGAGAGGATGGCGTACAGCTGCCCACTGTCCACGCCTGGCCACTTGGGAAACTCAGCAGCCACAAAAAGGTCACCTGGCCCCAGAGGCAGGCCCAGGGAGCAGACAGCAGGAGGGGAAGAGTCCTGGACCCCATGGGAGGAACGAGCCCGGGGCTGGGTCACGAGGACAGATGGGGCAAACTGGGCCCCTCTGCACCAGGCAGACCTCCCCGACCTCTGCTGCCAGAGGATGGGAGGCATCCGCCAGGAAGACAGAGATGAGGCCGTCCAGCTGGCCGGGTCGGGGTGGGGCTGCAGAAACCTCTAGGCAGGCCCAGGAGCTGCTGCTTTCAGGGGCAAAAAAAAAAAGAAAATCCGGAGGGGTTGTGGTGCCAACCATCGGGAAGGGCATTCCCCGGCTCCCCTGGGCCCCCCACTCTGAGGGGCAGGAAGGCTGGGCAGGTGCCCAGGCTGGAAGGCCGAGGACCCCAGCGACAGCCCTGCCTCCCACCTCTGCATGGGCCGGGAGCCAAGAGGGCCTTTTTTTTTTTTTTTTTTTAAAGCAAAGCTATCTTTTTACCTTGATAAGCTGTTTAAAAAATGTAAATAAAATAACTCAGCGGACAAAAGCAGGCATTCATCCCGCCCAGGCCAGCCGCTGCCCTCGACATGAAATATCGCAGCACATTGAGTCGTGAGTCCCGGCTAATCCGAGCGGACAGGCCTGAATGCGGCCCCTTTCGGCCGGGCGCGGCGGTGAGCAGTGGAGCATGCATTGCCTGCCGGGCGGCCCCGCTCGGGGACAATGGCTTTCTTCGCAGAAGGGGCCTGTGCGGGACAAGACCCCCTTTGTGTGGGGATTCCTGCTTCGGAGTGCGAGGGAGGCGCATTCAGCCGGCCCCAGACAGTCTTTGAAAGGCTCTGTAACAGAAGACGGCCCGAAACACTAGCCTGCCTTCTGCCTCCCTGCACTCTCCGCCGGCACGGCCGCCATTCAGCCACATGAGCGGGACCCTCCATCCTGCATTGTCCCATGCCCGACCATCGTGGCTTCTCAGCGCCATGCACCCGCCGCCAGACGACGGCCCGGGGGTGGCAGGCGACAGTGCTAGGGGTGGGGCTCGCATGGCCGACGCAGGGCACAGTCCTGTGAGGGCCCGGCCAGGGCAACCCCCAGTGCCCGCACCCAGGTTCCGATGCACCTGCTCGCAGTGAGGGGTCATGCTGAGGAGGAATCCGAGGGGCCAGTGGGACAGCCTCAGCAGCAGGGTCCCATGTGGGCAGGCAGCGGGGTGGTGCCCATCATGCTCCGCCCTGAAGTAAGGGGACTCTGACGGGGTGGGGGGCGGACCAATGCCCCCGAGTGTCGGCCTCCTCATACACGATCAGTGCGCCCTGAGCCGAGCACCCCCAGGCCAGGCACCCCCAAGCAGGACATCCCCTGGCAGGACACCCCTGGGCTTCTTTGCTGCACCTCTTGCTGCACCCTGGAATCTGCACTGGGATCTGCAATCTCAGGGCACCGAGAAGTCATGGGGGCACCCCTGCACCTGCGGGAACAGCTCAGAGCCACCCCACGCAAGACGGCCGCCTCCCTACCCACTGCAGGCCCCGCCGCTCCCTACTGCTCCACACGAACCCAAGGCACAGCTTGGCCAGACTCAGGACAACGGGGCTGCGATGCTAGTACCTGGTCTTCCTCTTGGAACCTTCTGGGCTTAAAAGTCAGCCTTGTTCACAAAGGAGACTCAGCAAACCACCATGATTCCAGAAGCTCCACCAGTTCTTATCCAGACATCTTTAGCTGCCAACCCCATGCTTCTGCGACACTGCTTAAGACCTGGTCCCGGACAGCAAGGGACCGAAGCCACCTCTCCCGCCAGCAGCCAATGAGGGGTTGGATACTGACCGGACGTACTTCGCACCTGGGTGACCGTGCCAAGGCGCGACTGGTGCCCTGGCCCTGAACCTCGTCCTGTGTCCCAGGTGCCGGCACTGCCCACACTGGGCCTGTGAGTGGGCACCACTCTGGGGGTGCTGTGGGCGGCGGGGCCAGCACCAGCTGCTCCCACAGCCCCTCTGCTCAGCCCCTCCCAGGAGCATTTCCTTCCAGGGCGCTCACTGCCGTGCTGGGGACTCAGTCAGCCCCCAGTGCCCAGGAGGCAAACTCACCCACAAAGGGCAGCCTCCCGGGTGATCCTGTGAAGGTTCCGGAAGGACGGAGGCTAACAGGCATGGTGGGGTGTGGCTCGACCAAAGCTCAGGCCCAGGCCCACCTAGGACCCTGTGAGTGTGAGGGCCCGATGAGAACCGGGAGACACAGGGTTGGCAGGGGGAGACCCAGGCCTGGGACCAGGCTGTGCCCTGACGTGTCTGTTGGCTCAGGCAGCCTGAGGGCTCCTGGGATCCTGCACCCCACGTACAGCTGATGGCTGCCCACGGCCGGGTCCTGGATACCCCCATGTAGAAAAGAAGCCCCAAACAGTCCCCACACAGAGGCGGCCCTGAGCCAGGCATGTCCTTGCCCCGCCGCCTGATAAGCCCTTTCCCCGTGGACCCGCCCATGTGGTCCACTCACTTCTCTGAACCTGCCCTCCTGGTGGAGGCGGTGGACGTGCACCAGCAGGCAGCTCCTGTCTGCATGCTGCAGCTGGAAGATGCTGGTCAGCGGTGCCACAAGGCTGGGGGGGCTCTCAGTGAGGACTCGGATCGCTCGGGCCTGCAGCTGCTTCAGCCTCAGGCTGTGCTGGAAGGGCAGAGACCCAGCCTTACTGGACGTAGCACCCAGTGGCTGGGCCGTGGGGCCGACTGGAGCAGGCTGGGCTTAGGAGGCAGTGCCTGCCACTGTGGCCATGAGGGCATCAGGTGGCCTGCAGGGCTGGGGCATGGGAGGGGTGAGGCTGGTCTCAGCACATGGCTATCATGGGGCTGAGGATGAAGCCACGGGCTGGGTCTTGGCCACAGCTCCCAGCATCCCCCTGCCCTTCCCCAGCTTGCTCAGCAGGCTGCAGAGGCCTGGGCAGGTGGGTGCCAGGTCCACTGTGCTGAGGGGCAGGGACAGGAAGGGAGGTGACTGTCACAGAGCCCACGGGCTCACCTGGGCAGGGCTCGGGCATGGCTGTGCCTGTAGCCAGCACTGCAGCTGGCGGGAGATCCAGGCCTCCAGGGAGGGGCCCTCTCCCCGCCGGCCCCGGCAGCTCTCCAGCATGTCCAGAAGCCCCGCCAGGGGGTCGTCCAGGGCAGCAAACCCCCGCCAGGCTTCCTCCTGGAGCTGTGGAGACACAAAACCACACTGTCACTTTGTCTTGCACTCAGAGTCTCCTGGCAAGGCCTCCCCACCGCAGAGAGGTTTGCAAAATCTAATCCATTCAGAAGGTAACTGTGGCCATTCAGCCACCGTCCGCCTCCCTGACTTTTCATGCCGCTGAGGAGATTCCGTTCTGGTCCGCTGCACCCCAGGCCCCCAGGGGCGGTGGCCATTGTCTGCACTAATTATCCCATAAAGACAGAGGGCCTGTTCTCCAGGCAGACAGAGGGCCGCTGGCCTGGGAGGCGACCGCAGCCCGAGCCACAGGTTCACAAGTCACTTCAGCTGTGGCGCTCTCGGGACATGGGCCTGACCTGCCCTCAGCAGGCGAAAGAAACTGAAAGGCAAGAACCAAAGCCCAAAATGAAAAATGCCTTTTAGGTACTTTTCTATCCCTGACCCGCAGGATATTTGGGAAACGGGTAAGAGGTGGACAAAGAGAAGCAAAGTGTTTTGGTCTCTGGCTTCCGGAAGATTCTAAAGCAAGTTGGCCCTTGCTGCTGCGGGCAGCCTCGGCGGCGCCATCCTCTGTGGATGCCCGCAAGCCATTCAGCTATTTGCTGCAAACCACAATGAATGCTTGCAGGTCATTCCGCAGGTGGAATCCTAAGAGCTAAAGGGGTGGACAGGTTCACAGCTCAGCACTCGGGACAGAGCACAGCAGCCGACACCCTACCCTGAAGCCCATGGCCATGCAGGTGGGCAAGAGGGCGAGTTCCCAGCTGCTGGCACCAGCCACGGGATGTGCCCCCAGAGGCCCAGGGAGGCTGCAAGCCAAAAGCATGGGCCGTGCTGTTCTCGCCCCTGCGATGTGGACGGTGTGCTCTCCACGGGGCTCCAGGAGCAACACCCTGAGGCTGCCACGCAGCTCTGAAAGCACCGTGCTCCGGAGATTTGGCAAGCTTACTGAAACGAAAGGCACACTTCGGCTCCCAGCACCTGACAGCTCTCCCCACAAACACCTGGGAACAGCTGCGGACACACGCAGGTGAGTGCGTGAGGAGACCTCAGCACAGTCCAGGAGGGTGTGACACCCACAGGGGCAGGAGGAAAGGCTGGAAAGTCGAGACCCTCCAAAGGATGCCCCTTGGGGAAAGTGGCCAGAGAGGGTGAAAGGCAGCTTGGCTGTCCCTCTGGACTCTGGGAAGAAACGGAAAGTCACCCTGAAACAAAGCCTGAGCGTCTCATGCATCTGGAACTTGAAGGTGCTCCAGGAACTTAGTTTTAGCCCGAGTGAGTTCTAGCACTAGTGAGTTCTAGCTCTAGTGAGGTCCAGTCTTAGTGAGTTCTATCCTTAGTAAGTTCTAGCCCTAGTGAGTTCTAACTCTAGTGAGTTCTAGCCCTAG